TGCCATTTCTGGCACATCATACAGTTAGAGAATTTGCAAGAACCGCGATGAGAGCGCAAGCAATTGTAGCAGAGTTTCGCGTTTTTTACTGCTTCGATGCGTTCCCGAACAATTGTTTGAATTTGTCACTTAGTCTTACATACCGCGCAATTGCCCAATGTCTTTATCAAGAATGTCCAAATTAGAGAGATCATTTTGCATCTTCTTAGCCGGAGGCCCGCTTTTATCATTCTCCGTTTCTGACACCTTCGCTTTTTCACGTCGCGACGCGCAGACCACCGTTTTGTATATGAACTCGTATATTTGATCAGGTTTAGGGAACTCGTTTCTTTTTAACGTCGCTTCTCATTTGTCCATCGTAGCTCTCGCAATTTATCTTTAAGTAAATGTATTATCATATATAATGTATTATCATTACGAGACACCGATTGTAACTCCTAAGATTTTTAACGATGTAATATGCTATTAAGCATTATTAGCGAGCTAACAACTTAAACTACTTGTGTTCTTTCTTTCCAGCGTGGGTAGATTTATTAATAACGAGAGATGTCATGAAATCAGGATTCGCTTCATATCGTAAGACTGCTCTAATAACGTCCACGCGCTAGAGTAACTTATTCTATCGATGGAAAAAATCCTTATTTTATTAGCGGTTTCACCCATCAATTACGACTTCAGATAATGCAACTTATCAATATCTGACAAGTCCGATTGAGTACCGATCATATACACGTTAAATGAGAACCAACTTTCAAATTTGCCGTCAAATGTGAGCAGCGGCGCTTCCGATAATTTTACTTTCCGTTTACTTACTATAGTGACCGTGTTATTGATTCGCGTTACTTCATTTGATAAGCCACTACCGGCGCCCAATGTATTCGTCGGATTTAATATGTTCTCGGCCTTGCCTGCGAGTGCATAAAATCGTTCTTGTATGTTTGACTTAATTGATGACCAAGTAAATGGAGTCCAAGACCGCGAGTTTATCATTATAATCTTCGTATATATGGTATAATTTGGTTAACCGCGCAATACGCAATTTTAACGTAGCATTATCGATTCGGCTTTTATCGAGAGTATTCGTTAACCCCATAATTTGCCCTTTCAAAGACATTTGCTTTTGCACGAGAAGCTTGAGTCTCTCGGCCATAATTATATGATTTGTAGTAATTGTATCGAACGATTTACACTTGAGTAACCGCACCGCTATTGGAAATTCGTTTTAACCGTATGAAGCAGGTCGTCCTTGGTATGAAACAGATCGTCGTGAAGTCCGTATAACACAATCTCGTCTGTTCGGGTATGTGTGAAGAATACCTCACAGGAGGCACCAAAATGTTGTGTATATCGGCACAAGCACTTTCGTGGTTGCACCGTAGTTTTAATTTTGGACGCATCAGGAGTATCGAGATAATATCACAATAGATAAGATGTTTAAACGTATATTTGTCTCCGTTTCGGTGCAATCCACTTTTCGTAACACACACACTCATATATCATTTACGCAACTTACGCACTTATAATCGTGGTTTTCATTAATACATTATCACTCGAGTTTGTACTTACAAGTTTTATGTATAATATTACAATATTCTCCTCAGTGCGTCGAATATGAAAAGAAATAATTTCGCAATATCAAAGCCAATACCGCTTAATAGAATCTCGTTATGAGAAATATTCAGCACAATTCACGTTTTTTTTAAAGAACAAATTACGCTTGGAACGTTTAAGGGGCAGATGCCCGGATTCGTGATAATGCCTTGAGGGTAATACCCTGAGTTACGTGGTAGCTACGCCTGGAGCAAACTTGAGCTATTTTATAGCACCTTGGGCTAATCGCCGAACTACCTTTTCGTAACATATTTAGATTTGTAACGTACTTAGATTAAATTCGCAAGTGAGCTCGAAATGTTCGGCACTATGGTCGATTTTTGATTGACTGGTTTCGTCGAATTTTCACGATTTCCACTTTCCTCGCCGATTTCCGAAAATGCTCGAATTCGAATCCCGATCGGCGATCTGAGATCACAACAGCTGCGAGATCAAAGAAATTATAGCGTAAAAGAATTCGCGTACCGGCATCAATAATGTGTACGAAGACAAGTCAATAAGTTCTTAAAAAATCTGTCAGAGGACACTCGTAGTGTCATGTCACATTACTTTTTGACAAGTAGCATCTTTTAGCTGATTACTGTCAAATTTTGAGCGGAATTTATTGCGTGGTTTCATTTCTATAGATGATTAAAGAACTTTGTATTTTTTGTAAAATGGAAAAAAGCGAGTTTCGTGCAGTGATCAAACATCTACATATGAAAGGTTTAACGCCGAAAAAATTCAAAGCTGAATTGGATAATGTTCATAGTACATCTGCATCAGTGTTTGCGACTGTATACGATTAGAATTAAAAGAATTTAAACGTGGTCGTACATCCACATGTGATGCACCTCGTTCGGGTCTTCCATCAAGACAATGTACGGGTTCACACGTGCCCGATACTGATGGCCAAATTCAACGAATTCCACTACGAATTGCTTTCCTATCCAGCATATTCGCCAGATTTAGCCCCCTGCAACTATTTCCTGTTTCCAAACCTGAAGAAATGATTCGGAGGAAAGAGATTCACCACTAGAGAGCATCTCATCGCCGAAACAGAGGCTTATTTTGAAGCGTTGGACAAATCATATTATTCAGACGGCTTGAAAAAGTTGGAGAAACGTTGGATCAAGGGTATCGAGCTGAAAGACTATGTTGAGAAATAAAAATGAATCGATCAAAAAAAAGTGTTTCACTATATTTTTCAAAAAACTTATTGACTTGCCCTCGTATGTATGTACAGTTTGTAGCAGGATGCCTGGGGTTCGATTTTCGGGTCCACGTTTCGTTCTTAGTTATTTTTACATTCATTGTTAAAATCTGATATGACGTCAGCGATCATGACCAGATATTACGTCAGCGATCATAAATGTATCGTAATATTTGTAAATTGTGTTTTGATAGTCAGCCGATGTAACCTCAATTTTAATCAGTGAAATCTCTTTCTATCAGATAACCTAGAGATTAGGTTAAAGACATTTCAATATTTCTCCATCCGGAAAAAAACGGCAAAAGGTTTTCAGTGAAAATTTTGAAATACTCCAAAGCTTAATTGACAGGAAGCGGATCGAAGCCTTCAATATATCAGATTAATTGTAGTTTTGAAAAAGTATTTTTCAATTGCTTTTACTTACTAATAAGAAAATATATTAGGTGTTGGAATTAATTCGTAGCGTTTTTAAATGAAAGAATGTTATTTATTTCACATGAGCATTGTGCGAGAGCGCACCGCGCGGAAAGAGGTTCGAGTGAGAAAATGGCACAAGGTTGATATGATGCACGACAGTGAAGAGAACTCCGTTTTCATTTAATTTAACAAAAGAATTTCTTTAATGTATTCAGTTACAAAGTCAAAAGATATAATTAATTAAAGATCAGATTAACAGAATATTAAATGCGGTCACCTTTTCCAAATTGAGCTTGGAATCGCGGTGATGGAAAATCTCGGCGATTTTCCTCGAAGCTTCTCGAAAGTTTCGGTTTATAGCGATTTCACTAAACGGTTAGCATGGCGATTTTACGAAGCGAGATTATGACTCTAAGAACTCTAAGAACTTTTTGGAAGTAAGAAGGAGGACGGCGAGATCGAAGCATTTATTGCTTTCGGCCTGAGCTTTCCCTTTTGGGAAAAATCCAATAAAAATTTGCCACAATCGTAATTATTACGTGGCATTAGGTGTACAAAATTGATTGGCGCTTTGGATTCTTTTCTAGCGACGTTCAACGTAACAGTCATGCGCGACAGAAAATCCGTGCGTGGGATTGGTGACAGCGCGTGACGTATTCGTCGGAGCGCGGCGCTCGCGTGCGCGAATTGAATCGTTCTAGAACTTTCGATTGTCCGTTGCCGGTAACGACAACTTGTTTGCGTGTTGCGCAAAACGAATTGTTTTTAAAAAGAACAAAGAACGACGAATTTGATGATTTTAACGAGGATTAAAATCATGTTTGAGATGAAATCACGAGCTCAATTTGTGCATGCGTTCAATGACAATTAATGTCGATCGACTGAAAGAATTCTTGCTTTTCTTTCGAATTACCGATCTCGAACAAGCATTAAAAAATACATTAATGAAAGTACTTCCCATCACTTGTAAAACGCTACGAATTAATTCCAACACCTAATACTTTGTGAGCTATACTTTGTGTTTTTCTTTCACAGGTAATAATAATATAAATAAGCAAATAAGATAATCAATGATGAAGATTTGTGGCGAGAAGTTTTATTAGAGACAAGCACAGAAAGGTAATCCAAGATGTTTAATCATAATATTTCAGGTATTCACCATGTTAAGAATAATGATTAATAGCATTAAAATCCTTTATATTGTTGTTTCTTATTCAATTTCAGTGAAGATTGCAATCTCGGCATAATATATAAGCCAGAAAATAAAATTAAATTGCGGATCTCTTGAGAGCTGAATGTATTTTAAATAAGATTTTTTCTGTATGTGTAATATTTTATTATATTGAATGTGGGAAAAAGTTCGTAGCGTTTTTCCCATTAGATGACATTAAATGCTCAGCACTCGGTAACTACTAATCGCATTGACAACACTAGACGTGTGTTTAAAAAATGACATTTCAACCTTTGTTTTGAGCCGAAAAAGATTGAAATCGGTGAAGTGGATCAAAAGTTATTTTATTTTGAAAATGGAAATAAATAAGGAAAAGTTCGTTACATTTTGCAGTTACTACGATAAAGGCAAGAACGCTGCATAGGCTTGTGAAAAAATTTGTGCTATTTACGGTGAAGATACTTTATCAAAATCAGCAGCACGGAAATGGTTCGCTCGTTTTCGTACTGGAATTTTCGATGTGAAAGATGAATCTCGCTCTCCCTCGACCAATCACTGAAAAGTCCGATGAAATCTTAGAAAAAGTCGCGTGATAAGCATGTGAGCACTATGGAGATTGCCAGGAAACTAGGCATCGACCACAAAACAGTTTTAAATCATTCATACAAAGCTGGATACAAAAAGAAACTCAATGTTTGGGTTCCTTACGAGTTGAGTGTTAAAAACATGATGGACCGAATTAACATTTGCGATACGCTACTGAAACGGAATGAAATTGAGCCATTTCTGAAGAGAATGATGACTAGTGATGAAAAATGGATCACATACGATAATCATACGAAACTCTACAAAGATCGAAAGAGAAAAGGCACAAATAATCGCAAAACTTGGATTGACGACGAAGAAGGTGATATTGTGTGGTGGGATTGGAAGGGAATCGTTCACTATGAGCTTATTGCCCGATTAAACAATTAATTCCGAACTCTACTGTGAACAACTGGAAAGATTACAACAAGCAATTGAGAGGAAGCGGCCAGAATTAATCAATAGGAGGGAATATGTCGTCTTTCATCACGACAACGCTCGATCACACACATCTTTGATAACTCTGCAAAAATTGCGAGAGCTTGATTGGGAAGTCTTAATGCACCGTATAGTGGATATCCTGACATAGCACTCTCAGACTATTATTTGTTTAGGTCTCTGACCTAAACCAGTTTAAAATTCTCTTAATGTAAAACTGGCTTCAAAAGAGGCCTGTACAAATCACTTGAAGCAGTTTTTTGACCAGAAACCACAGAAGTTATATTGCGATGGGATTATGGCTCTGTCCTAAAAATGGCAAAATATTATTGAAAATAATGGAGCATATTTGTTAAATAAATTGATTTTAATACTCTAAGAAAAATATTTGAATTTTACTAAAAAACCACCACGAACTTTTTCTCACGCCCACTTGCTTTTAGACGATTAGAAAACAATTAAAAAAATTAAATCGTAAAATTAATCATCATTTAATAATCATAAGTCGATGTAAGTTCTTATTGTTCAACAGAGATTTATATTTCTATTGAACAATAAGAAGAACTTATTTCTCTGAAAGAAGAACTGTCTCCTATCGTCTAAAAGCAAGTATGTAATAAAAGGGAGTGATTTACTTGCACATTAGCAATTGTCCAGTCATAGTGACTTCAGCGTAGGGAGTTCTTTTTTATTTTTTTTCCTAGCGCTGTAATTGACTTGTGCGCAATTAGTTCGTGTTCAATTGCTATACACTCGTAAAATATTACACATACGGGAAAAATCTTATTTAGAATACATTCAGCTTTCAGGAAATTCGCAATTTAATTTAATTTTAATTCTGGCACTCATATATTATGCTAAGATTGCAATTTTCATCGAGATTGCATGAGAAATAACTCTTACGTCCCGCGGACTCCCACGACTCTTTTCTTTCGTGGAGATTTGAAATTCGTTAAAATAAAGAGACAGCTGGGAATAACGAACAAGTTGAGTGTTGTAGCCTAAAGAAGACTATAAAAAATTTCTTTTCCCACATTAAAAACTAAAACGAAGAATCCAATATCTCCTCGTAAATGTCGTTCCGAGATAAACTAAAAATCGGTGCACGTACACGAGCGACAGGACCAAAAGACACCGAGCTTGTGTCCTTCGGACTGCGACTAAAATAATAATAAATATGTCATTGGAAATGTAAGACCGGCGCCAAGATACTTTTTAACGGTCAAGTCGCGGACGATTCTCACGAGTTGTGATCATAAAAAACGACATGCGACGTTCAGGGGTGATTCTGGATGGTCTCGTGTCAACGCTGCACGTGCGCTTCCTTGACGTACTGCACGTGCGCTTTTTTCAAAAATTTTAAGATCATAAAATTACGGATGACACTTCCCCTACAGATTCCGATCAATGTTCTTTTCTATCCTTGATCAATTAGAAAGCAAGAAATAACCTCACCATCTAATTAACTAACCTATCCACTAATCAGTATGCTGTTAATCAGGATAGATAAAAACCCCGCGGGGCTCAGCGCCTTTTTTCTTAATTTCTTTCTGGGAACGGATGTAGTGGTCCGAAGTTCTTATTTTCTTAACCGGCCAACACTTAAAAATTCAGAGTTTAGAAGCAATACGGGAGAAATTCGACCTTGCATATTTGGTTAACAAGACTTAAAGATTTAGAGTCAGTGCTGAAGAATCACTAATCTTGCACATGGCCGGAGGACACCGACGAGCATCTCAGTAATAAGTCGATATATCTCTATTCTCTGGTCGCTCTCGCTTTTTCTTTGGTAATTCATTTCATTATTTCATTTTATTATTCATTAATTTTTATTTTATTTTTATTCTTTTCTTTCTTTCTCCCTTTGAGTTCCTATGTAAAAGAAAATAAAACATTGCAGTCCATTCACGCTATAATTTCAATCCCTGTCGCTGTCGCCTCACGATAATTCCCCGTCGACCGGTCCGGACGGACTCGTGTCCGTCCGTTAATACTATCATTATCCGAGGAAAATCAGGCCAAATCCTCTCAGTTTATAAGAATAAAAGTAAATACCTGTAAGAATCTGGAGTAGCTAAAAACCATAATAACTATAATGTTATCAATAGTTGTTTTCCTGGATGTATTGGTTTTTTCCCCATTATATTGATTCTATATAAAGCTGGTCCAATCATATGTAAAATCATTTCATATGTATCAATTTATTTCATATGTAGGAAACATCCTGCCAGGAAAAGAGATTAACTTTTTATATAATAATTCTACAGTATTAAACACCGTTTGCAACTTACCTGAAATGTTCCTTGAATTGTTATCGTGAATATTCTGATACAATTCGTTCAACGTAATCTGTTAACTTTTCACGAGAAACATTCACTCCTCTCGTACGTCTAATCATAAGAATAGCATATAAAGTTGAAATATCAATTTCTTCAGTTTCTTCATCGCTTGAAAGTTCACTTTCAAGTGAATCACAACTGCTCGAAAAATATAAATTTTCTGCTTTTGTCAAAAAAGAAGATGTACTTATTAAATGTATTTGTAATTCAATCAATTTTAAATTGTCGTCCATGTTCATTGCATGAATTCATTGCGAATCCATTCCGTTACTAAAATCGCATGGAGTGTATTGGAGAAATAGAACGTACCCTACACTCCATGCCATGCACTAAATACTCGTGCGCTTCATGCAAGAAACGGAACGCACCTTTGATGACCCACGAATGCTTGATTGTGCTCTGCAAGAGCGGAAACTTGTATAGATTCTACGAGCGAAAAGCCATCTCAGATATCGTCCGTTCTCCATCGCCAGCTTATTTATCTCAATAATACATGCGACATTCGCCACTATATTTTAAATAATACGAGTATCGGTTCTGTCACCGGATCTCCCATCAAGCAATTGTTGTCGATATGCGCTCGTTTTAAAATCAATTCGTAATGAGCGTTGATCACCACACGTTTGTAATCTTCATAGAATTCTAGCAGTACATAGAGCGACACAAAAATTAAAATATTCGACCGCAGTAGTCTGCGCTTCCCAGCTAGCATTGAGCATAATCACACTTCTGTCGGATGATACTGTTACATAGTTTTTGAGCGTGCTAGTTATACCTACGTTTCTGTTATGGTCAATCTCCACACCGTTGAATTCGTATCGAATCTCATCGAATATGACGCGACGCAATTATTTCCCAAAGTCACTCGACCACTCTGTTCTTCGTCAGTTTTCCCTCGACGTGTAGAAAGCTTTCGTACGGCAGTGTATACAGATCCTGTATGGGTATTCTTATCTCGTCGCTATTCCCGAACATTGTGTTGGCGAATGGGTTGAACGTGTGACTCACGTGTGTCTCAATCTTGACGATGCGATTGTTGAAGATTGGTTCATCTTTAATGTTTAGGATAGCAGTCATTTTGAAAGTTGCGCACCGCGATTCCCAAAGACTTTAAAAATTTAACGTTCGATGCGCTGAGCTTCTTTTTTCTGATGTAGCTGGTTGAGTGTTATTGAGCTGTGACATCACCAGCCTTGTAAAGAATGCATTATCTCTCTGCATGCGCTCCGTTCAGCACAAGCATCTCACGTTCGTGTTATTACTGTCGCCGTCGTACGTGCAATCTAACGGTGATCTCTTCTTCTCGAAAATCGTTCAATCGTCCGTTCTGATCGACGACGCATATCGTTAGATCAGTAATGCTCCGTGTGATGATCGACAGGTAAATGATCTGCGCCGGCCTCTCCAATATCTTATATCTTGGCGGCACACTCGACAAAAATTCGTGTATCATGTGTGCGCTTTTGCTGTACATGCCTGTTACATTATAAACAGATAACGTTTACGTTATGTTGATCGACGTCCAATTCGTGCCATCTTTGCGGTCGCAGTATATGCTTCGACGAGAATTCCAGCAGCGATCCAATGTTGTTAGGTTTGCTAAAGTTTATTCTGTATGCACATCTAATCTCATCGTGTTGTAATTTGCGCGGAGGGTAATCCGGTATTCTCTATCCTCACCATTATCGTCATCAGTGTTGTTGTTGCTATTAGGTATGTTCTTTTTGAAACCGTGCAGGAACTTTTTGTACCTAGTGCACATGTTACAGTTTAAAATGTTGTCACGGTGCACGCGGTACAGACAGTATAGCAGAGTTCAAGTTCTCAAATAGAATGTTATTCGGAATATGGGATGCACATGTGAACAGCAAGCTCAAAAGTGATTAGTAAAGTTACGAGTTAAAATAAAAAAAACTGACGATAGCATTACATCCGATGAAGAGAATTCATACGTTTCTTGCATTACACAATGGTAAACACAACTATATTATTTATTTCAATATGCTACATGATTGATATTTTGCATTAATGCAATAGAAAAATTAATTATTTTTTCATAGATCATGATGATGACTTACTTGCAATTATAATCCTGTTATTAACGGTATTCAAAGAATAAATCATGTAAAAATTGTAAATTATATGGAAATGACTCGAGCATACATTGAAAAAGACTTTATTATGCATTTTTGCTTGTCACGAATGATTGCATACGATCTAATTGATAGATTTGAAAGATCTAATATTTATGTAACTCTGCAAGATAAGATATTATAATAATATAATGTTATTATACTAGAAGAATAATTGTGTAATTTAAATATAATAATAATTGTATAATATCACAATTATTTTATTAATTCATTTATAATATTTATAGTACCCTTAGGTACCAGGTGTACAAGTATGAAGTGCGGATTTGGGGACAACAGATGGTGCACCAATGCAGTGTGTAGTATAAAGATTTGACGTATATGCCATTTTTACGTTTATGCCATCAACAAGTGTCAAACGCGCATAAGTGATAAATTGAAAAAGTGTTTGCATAGTATTGTTTTGGTGTGTTCAATATGTCGAAATTTGTGCCAAATAAAGAGCATTCGCTGACAGCAT